TGTGCGGTCCCCGGGCCCTGCCGCCCCCCTCCCAGCCCTGTGTGCGGTCCCCGGGCCCGGCCTCGCCCTCCGGCCTGGGCCCGGGCCGGCGCGCACCTTTGGCGGTGTCGTAGATGCCGAAGTAGGCGGCGCGGTAGATGATGATGCCCTGCACGGAGACGTTGAAGCCCTGGTAGAGGCCGCGGAGGCCGTCCGACTTGGTGACCTTCACCAGGCAGTCCCCCAGGCCCCGGAACTCCCGCTCGGAGCTGGACTTGCCCACGTCGGCGGCCAGGCGCGTCCTGGCGAAGTCCAGGGGGTACACGAAGCACAGGGAGGTGGCGCCGGCCGCCCCGCCCGAGGCCAGGTTGCCGGCGAAGTAGCGCCAGAACTGCGTGTGCTTGTCCACGCCGCCCAGGAACACCTGCTTGTACTTGTCCTTGAAGGCGAAGTTGAGGGCCTGGGTGGGGAAGTAGCGGATGACGTTGGCCAGGTTCCCCCGCCAGAAAGACAGCACGCCCTGCTCCCGCGGGATGCGCACCACGCAGTCCACGATGCCCTTGTACTGCTGGTCGGCCGCGATCTGCCTGCTGGCGTGCTGCACCTGCGGCCGGGCGGACAGACAGACGGCGGCCGTGAGGCTCCGGATGCCGGGGCACAGGGGCGCGTTCTGACGGCCCCGCGGCTGCCCGACCGCTAAGCACCCAGCCGTGCAGCCTGGTGCCTCGAGGACGGCCGCCCAGGAAGCCCCACGGGGCGCTGTGACCACTGCGGCCGGCGGGACGGATCTGGGTTAAAGAGCGACGACTTTGAGCGTCACCCACGCGTCGGTTCCCTGCCGCAAACCCTCGGGTCCCTGGACCGCCAGGGGGCTTGGACGGGCTGCGAGGCGGCTGGCAGAAAGGCCTGCCACCTCCCGCGAGGTCCCGGGTGTCAGGATCAACTCGGCGGGGATGCTTGATGGCGGAGTTCAAGGGACGAGCACTTTCATACACGTAACATCACACTTACACCGACGGTTTACGGCGGATGTTCTTCGACGGAGGGGACTGGGGACGGGGAGGGAGACTGAGACCCAGGCCTTAGTCTCAACCCACAGACGCTGCAACTTCCTACTGAGCTTTTCCAAAGAACTCACGTGGGAGCCGCAACCCTGGAACTGCCCCAATCAGCGAGGAGTCCCCGGGTCCCTGGGGAAACGCGGCAGCCCTGGGGGTACCAAGGGGGTGACCGAGCTGCTGGCCGAAAGGCCAGAGTCCACCGAGGCGCCCCCCAAGAAAGGCCTGGCCATCGGCTTCTGAAAAAGCAGCCCCTGAAGACGCCACTCGGGCCGTAGCTCTGCGGACACACGGGGTCACGCGGGCCGGCGCCAGGGCAGCCGGTTCCGCAACCGCGACTGGAGCTCCGCCCCGAGTCAGACCTTCGCTCACAGGGCCCTGGAAGAAGGCGCCCCAGGGACACCGCAGAGGCCGCGCTGGTGAAGATGGGCAGCCGTGGGGACCCAGGGCCAAGGGCTCCATCCCGGAAGGTCGCTGGGCTTCACAGCGGACTGAAGGGCAGCAGGCGTGGTGGCCCCTCACGGGCTCCGAACGGCGCCCACGACTTCCAGCGGACGGCCCCATCCCGCCGCAGAGCAGCTCGCCCACGAGTTCAACCTGAGCAACCAAACGCTTAGCCGCTGCGCCACCAGGGCCCCTGAATCTAACACAACAATGTCCTAAAACAAACCCGCACGTGGCCTGCCACCTAACGGCATAACCCTGCCAGCAGCCGCTACTCGGGGTGCAATGCACCACGGGGAGCCGGCCCTGGGCTGCTTCAGGGGTGCACCTGAGGCTCTCACCCGGAGCGGCCCAGTGTCTGAAGTTACGCCTGGCAGGAGAGGCGCCGGCGGTCCCAGCGACAAGATGTCAGGTCGCCTGTCCCACAGGCCGCTCCTACAGGCTCAGGACCGCACCGCCAGCCGAGGGCTGTTTGTGACGCTGGGCTTGCGGCTGGACCCTCAAGTTTCTGGAGTAGAGGTAAGTGGTTAGAAAGTGAACTTTTGGGGGTGAATTCCATTCCAGTGGACGCAAATTCCCACACGGATGGCTGTTCCCGACCCCCTCCCATTGCCACCACCGTTCAGGTCTCGCCTTCTCAGACACAGCACTTCCCGGCCAATCAACACAGTTGTCTTGGTCCCAACCCATGGTGCACTGCGTGTCAGGATACAACGCCACACCGTTTCCAACAGTCGCTATTTGGGAAGAGAATTGCCAGGCATTCCTTCCGAGGCACATCAGGGGTGGGTCAAACCTCCAACTACCAGCCCAACACATGAAATGCTTGCACCTCAAAGACTCCGAAACCAACCGGACTGCCATCAAGCCAGTTCTGACTCACGGTACCACCACGTGCCACAGCATTCAATGCCTCACTTTTCAATCACCAGGTCTTTCTTCCGCGGAAAGGTCTGCCTCTGGTAGACGCCCACCTTTCTGTGCGCACTCGCTCATGTGAAAACATTTCCGCCACTCGAGGACTGCTAACGCCAGTTATTAAGGCGTCCACAGACTCCTTGCACCCCCAAAAGTCAGAGCACAATATAGCTCCATTGCGTCTTTGGTGGCCGATTTTTTTTCCCCCCCAGTAAGCCAGCCAGGCGATTCTTTCGATGCACCTGCCGTTTTGTGCCACCCAGCACCCTCCATGAATTCACACTTGTAATGCGTCACCCATAAATTGAGTTCTAAGCCGATTTCTGGTCTAGAAGTTGTCAAGCACCTCTCCTCCCACGTACACCTGTCAAAAATCCCCACCGATATGCAAAAGCCGCCAAGTCCCCCTTCGACACGCTACGCAGCGTCTACCCATAAACGTGGTTCTCTGAGCTCAGTAACCCACATGCAAAGTTCAAGAGAACAAAGATCCTTTAAGGAGGTTCCGTCCAGGCTGGGGGCGCAGGGCTGGAGGTGAGCCGAGGACGGGGATGCCCCCACAAAATCAACACTCAGCTGCCCGCAAGGTCTGCCCGTCCCTCCCACCCTGCAGGACCCCAGCGCGCTGGGTCCAAGCGCATGCGCGCACGCTCCCGTGCCAGTCCACGCCCCCCGCGCAAGCGGCACCGCCCCCACGTGACCGGGCAGGGCGCCGCCCCCGGAAGTCGGAGGCGCGCGGACAAAGCGGTCGCGGCCTTGCACTTCCGGCGCCAGTCTCGTTGCACGTGGCCAGCACAGCGTGGCCTCCGCACTCCTCCGCGGGCCCCAGGACCCGCCGCCTGTCACTCACCTGCAACAGCAGCTTGACCCGCTCAATCGGGGCCACGGCCGTCTTGGAGATGGCAGCGGCGATACCGCCCGCCAGGAAATCCTTAGCGAAGGAGATGGCCTGTTCTGTCATAGTGGCGGAGTGCAGTGCAGCGCGGGCGGAAGACTGGAGTGGACGTGAAAAGGCCCGGAAGGTAGGCGCCACTGGCTCCGCCGCCGCCGCCGGGACCGAAAGGACGGAGCGGCCAGCGCGCAGCCGCTAAGGCACCGAGGCCACGCCCCCACCCCCGCCCGCCGCGTCCATTGGTCGGCGTGCTCGCCGACGCCCCGCCCTACGTTGCGTGCCGCACCACCGCGGGATGCCGGGAGATGCTGCGCGTCCCGCCTCCCGCGTCCGTGTTCCGTGCCCATTGGCTGCGCTTCCCCTACGCCCCGCCCTTTCCTGCTGTATGCTTCGTTCTTTCCAGTTTGCCGCGGCCCCGAGGCATGCCGGGATGGATCATGCGTTTAGCGGGCCCGGGGCTCCAGCTGCGGTGACCTTCTCAAGGTCATCCAGTGCGGGAGTCTCCGCAGGGCCCCGGGTGTTAGCCAGAGCACTTTGTCTGGGCTGCGCTCCCCGCGACGTTCTGCGGGGCCCACTTACCCGTGCACATCCAAGGGGAACGAGCCGGAGTCAGTCGGGGTCAGGGTTCGGACTGTCCACGATGCCCTACCCCCATCCTCGTCTCCCCGATCCTTTTTTTCTTTCCTTCCAGGACGAAATCGTTTATTGAGGGAGGGCAGGGACGGGAGGCTCAACGCCCCCTGCCTCTTTTTAAGGCGCCCCCAGACCAGAATACCGCTCCGCCCCAAGCGCGCCGGCGGTTCGAGCCTGGGGACCTCACGCTCTGCCTGGAACGCCTCCACGCCCGCCTGGGGGAGCCCGGGTGCCGTGACCTCGCCTCTGACCCTTCACCTCCTGGCACCTAGCACACTGAGCCTTGTGGACCAGGCTACCTGCAATGCTGCCCTCGCGGGCCATCCCTCTGCACTCAGGCTATAATAGCATACACAGAATTTGTAGGAGATGAATATGTGTTCTAACCTGAGTTTTGTATTAATCTTGTTTCATTTAAACATTGCCTAACTCTGCCCCTCGTAGCCATAATC